TTTTAATGCCTTGGGACGCATCTCAGTATAATATTATTTCTGCTTCGGTTTTTGCGTTGATTATATTTTTTTTTATTAAAAATGAAAGTAGTTTTAGTTAGTTAGTTACTAACTAGTGTTTACACGTCACTAATACGTTTGAATGAGCCACTTGATGCCCAATAGGGCATGTACTATAGTGCCGCCACTTGTTCTCAATGACTAGTGCAATTGAAACTCATACACCCTACATTACAATGAATAGATGGGAACTTTAAGTCGACGTAATAAGGATCATGTTTATTGAATTCAAATTTTATTAATATTAGGGTTGTCACTCGTATGTTTATATGTAAAATTTTATTTTATATCAGTATTGTTTTCTAAAGAATAAAACACTCTAATAACGTTGATGTAACCGTAATTTTTGGTACTTATGGAACGAAGTCTATTTCGTTTGTATTCTAAGAAGTTTCTTTATCTGAATCTTTGTATCAAAGGAAAAGTGCTACTTAAATTCTGAAATATAATTAGTTTGGAAACTAAATCAAGTCAATACCTTATATATTAAAAAACAGAAAGCTAGTCAAATCAAGTCAAAAATAATTTATTCATGTTGAAACAGAAATCTTTATTCAAATAAACTCAATACAAGCACTTTTGAATAGTCCTAGTTTTTTATTCTACCACTTATTCCAAATGCAGACTCGCAAAAAGAATGAGCAAGAAAATTGCGTGTTGCTCTTTTGAATAGATGTTATTTAAAATAAATAGTTACACAATAACAAGAGGCATTCGATAATCAACATAGAAACCGCTACGCACTCATTCCTAGTGCAATCAGATGATATTGTTAGCGCTATGAATTTTAAGTTATTTCTACAAAACATTTTAGCAGCTTAAGAATTCAAGTTTTTTAAATATTTTCTTCCTTGCGTCAACAGTAATGTACAAAACCCCCTGCATAGTTAAAAAAAAACTATAGTAAAATTATAACCGACTGTGGCAACCCTATTCACTATCAGTACCCCACCCGCTGTTCTTAAATCACACTCTACGCAGTGCAAATTGCTTTTAATCCACTCGATAGATGGCGTGCACTGACAAACGACCATCACGCCCCCTACTTCACCGCTATCAAGCGAAAAATAGCACAATCGCTCTCACAATAAGGTTTAATTTTATTTCTCTTGCATTACTTTCTTGTACAACATTTCTCCTTATTCTAAAATATACTTATTCGGTATATTAATTAGGTTTATTTCTCTTTGAAAGTCTTGATTGAAATTGGAAATAATCGAGGCTCTAGAAAAATCTGAAGTGATCGACACGTGGTCTCTTTAATGTAGTTCTCAACTTTGCATTGACTTGTATTTTAACTCGTTTTAATTGAATGTACTTTATTAATTTAATTGGATATGATTGATTCAAGAATTGCTTAAGTGGTTAGGGAGTTCTTATGAGATAACAAGTCCTGATAGTACCTATTATATTATGTATTTTTCTTTATGGATGATGATGGAATGGTGCACCCGCCTGCGCTAACGGTTTACGCTGGCGGGGCACCAGTGGAGGATGATAAGATGAACATGAAGTCAAGTCAGTTAGCCCATCTTAGCAAATGGCAATTTATCATGATTTTCAGGAGGTATCGCGTGGATGTCAACTTGACATGGCACGTTGCTAGCAATGGGGTAGGCAAATGGTAGTCCACATTACTAACAATCGCCTTTCCTTGTAAACAATTGTTATGAGAAAACAAGACTGTTAATTATTATATGTATAATACATAATATATAATTTCTTTATGGATTATAATGTAATGGTGCCCCCGCCTGCGCTAAGGGTTTACGCTACCAGTGGAGGAAGATAAGATGAACCATGAGGTCAGGTCAGTTAGTACACCTTGACAAATTTACTAGGTATTTATCAGAATGCTTTCCAGGGGGACCTCAAACTGATTTCAAGCTGACATGGTAATTGCTGGCTATGGAGTCATCAGTCCACGTTATTTCCTCACTCCCTTATATTTATTTATGTATAATAATGAATATAAGATTCCGCCCGCGCTAACAGTATGGTGAGGTACCAGTTGAGGATGATAGAATGAGCATGAAGTTAGGCCATTAGCCCATAATGGTAAATTTATAAATAAATCAAGTATAAGTAAATAAATGCACTTGGATTTAACTACGATGTTCTCAAGATTAGGTGGACATGGTGTTACCATTGCATACCATACCAGTACCATACCATAACAGTACCATACCATACCATACCAGTACCATACCATACCAGTACCATACCATACCAGTACCATACCATACCAGTACCATACCATACCAGTACCATACCATACCAGTACCATACCATACCAGTATCAGTACCATACCATACCAGTACCATACCATACCAGTACCATACCATACCAGTACCATACCATACCAGTACCATACCATATCAGTACCATACCATACCAGTACCATACCATACCAGTACCATACCATACCAGTACCATACCATACCAGTACCATACCATACCAGTACCATACCAGTACCATACCAGTACCATACAAGTACCATACCATACCAGTACCATACCATACCAGTACCATACCATATCAGTACCATACCATACCAGTACCATACCATACCAGTACCATACCATACCAGTACCATACCATACCAGTACCATACCATACCAGTACCATACCATACCAGTACCATACCATACCAGTACCATACCATACCAGTACCATACCATACCAGTACCATACCATACCAGTACCATACCATACCAGTACCATACCATATCAGTACCATACCATACCAGTACCATACCATACCAGTACCATACCAGTACCATACCAGTACCATACCAGTACCATACCAGTACCATACCATACCAGTACCATACCATACCAGTACCATACCATACCAGTACCATACCATACCAGTACCATACCATACCAGTACCATACCAGTACCATACCAGTACCATACCAGTACCATACCAGTACCATACCAGTACCATACCAGTACCATACCATACCAGTACCATACCATACCAGTACCATACCATACCAGTACCATACCATACCAGTACCATACCATACCAGTACCATACCATACCAGTACCATACCAGTACCATACCAGTACCATACCAGTACCATACCATACCAGTACCATACCATACCAGTACCATGCCATACCAGTACCATGCCATACCAGTACCATACCATACCAGTACCATACCATACCAGCATACCATACCAGTACCATACCATACCAGTACCATACCATACCAGTACCATACCATACCAGTACCATACCATACCAGTACCATACCATACCAGTACCATACCAGTGCAATTACTGATATGGAATTGAAATGATTCATCATCATCATCATCGCAGCCCGGAAGACGTCCACTGCTGGACATAGGCCTCCCCTAAAGATCTCCACGACGATCGGTCCTGCGCTGCTCGCATCCAATGCCTTCCAGCGATCTTGACCAGATCGTCGGTCCACCTTGCTGGCTTTCCCACGCTGCATCTTCCGGTCCGTGGTCGCCACTCGAGGACTTTACTGCCCCAACGGCCATCTGTCCTACGAGCTATGTGCCCTGATTACCCGTGTTAAAATTGTTAAGTTGCACTAGTGTTACCCAGTCACGACTAGCTATGCTACGCTGTGTTGGGTTGACTGGTAGAGATCTGTTTTAGAGGTGTGAGCATCTTTGCTTACTTTGTATATAATAGTTTACTACTGTACTTCAATGTGCCATAAAGAATATAGGAATATAAAATTAATAACAATCGAGTTGCAATATTTTCTAAGTTAGGTAAGACTTCTACGAACTGGCCTAAAAGAAAATAGTAAAATAAAAATACTTTAAATAGGAAACACCTAGACCAACCGATTATACTCATAAATACAAATGTTTGTATTGTGCGAGGAATCGTACCTGGGACCATAGGAAGTAAGCCGGTGTGCATAACTGCTAGACAATCGAGGTCTTCATTCAAGTTGTCAATGTGAAAGTAATTAGTTAGTTTCTAAAGTATTTAATGGCTAATTGCATTCACTTTGCCTTTGTGAAAATGCACCGTCACAGTAGAGCGGTCTCATTCAGGAATTATGAAATTACATCAATTTTTCGTACTCTTAACAATGTCTTTTTATTAGCGCAATGCCACTCCGCTGGCTCAATTTGTTTCTATTCTGCTCTCCTGCGACATGTGATTTCAACCATATTTCCTTAGTGTTACAGTCGGAATTGCAGTATTAGGTTCGTGGCATGGAAACCACGTATGCGTAATTGCTTTTCATTACGTCTCCATTGTAGTCGAGTGTAGGCGAGCGAGGGGTGTGAGGGGTACACGGGCGGGGTGTCAAATTGCCAACAATTACACAATAAAAAAAAATTAAAATTGCCATAGAGCAGCGGTTCTTGCAGTAGGAAGACTGTCCGTGAATTTTGTACAATGGTTTTCAGCTGTTTATTACTGAAGCTGTAAATCTTTAGAATATTTTTACTCTACGTCTTTATGTAATGTTAGGGTGAGACAATGTATGAAGTATAAATATATCAATCATAATATATTAATATATTTCAGACTACACATAGCCCATATTATAAATAACTTGTATGGGCATATTATGCGGAGGAATGAGGATCATGTCTTAAGGAAAGTGTATAATATGATGGATGGAAAGGGGGAGGACACATTAAAAAAAGATGGATGGATTGTGTGAAAGATGATATGAATAAAAGGAGAGTATGCTCAGATATGACGGCGGATAGAGATCAGTGGAAGAGAATGACATACTGCGCCGACCACAGATAATGGGATAAAGGCAAGGCAATGATGAATGATGATGACTAATATACATAAGAAATAGTAATATAAATAACTATAATAATAATCTCAGGAAAATTCACATAGCGTCTAAAAAGATATTTAATTCCGCGTTAGTAAAAAGGTATATTCATTATATTTTTATGTTTTGTCGTAGGTCTGGTTCCAGAACAGACGAGCGAAATGGCGTAAAAGGGAGAAAGCAATGGGAAGAGACCATGCACCATTTATGCATCACGAACATGGTGAGTTTATGTTTTTTTTAACAGTATCCATCTTTTTTCTTAATTTTTTTTATGCCATCTATGTATTTACTTCATCAGCGATTGCAGGTTATTTACTACTAATAGTCCGTACCGATTTCGCATGGGCAGCTCTTAAATTATCAATGAAATTAGTTACTTTACTTTCTGGATCTATATAAATTAATCCGGCTCGAAGGACCAACTTTAAAACAAACTATTACTTACCTAAAAAATCGTACTGCCTATGTATTTATATCGAAATAATAATCATATATATAATCACACATTCTAATCGCTCACTAATCACTATTTACGACAAATATTTTTTTTTACTTTCCTCATTTTATAAACAATATTATTTTAACGATAAAAAAATGCCTTTAACGTGTTTAGTGTACAAAATTGGCCTTAATTATACACAATCGTATGGAATAACATATGATATGTTATTTGTATTGTAATTTGTGGTTTGGTTACCGTAATTACCGGTAGGTGGCGCTAGGCGGTAAGGAAATAGTAATAGTAGTGTTTGTCATTAAAAGCTGATGTCGTCGATTTGATTCCTATCTACTGAACATGTAGAGGTAGTTTGTTTTTAAGTTTGAGCTATTTAGGGTTGTCACAATAATTTATTTATTTAAGGAAAATATTTAGCTACTTCAGTCAATCTATGTAGTTTTACAATTTATATATTACAGTTAACAAATTAAGTTTCCACAAATGATTAAAGTGAGAGTCTAAAATGAATTTACACAAAATTACTCTTGTATCTAATATACTATCAAAGTATCAGTTACTGTTTTATTGAGGAGATATATTTACCGCCGTCGAGGCTAGATTCGATGGCCTCGGTGGTCTAGCGGTTTAGCATACCGCCTTACTTCCGATGATCGCGGGTTCGATTCCTCGCACGCTACAAACGGTTATAATCATGAGTACAAATGTTTTGGCTGTTTTGAGTCTGCGTGTTTTCTATGTATATTATGTATGTATTTAAAAAATTTTCTATCTATTATCGCTTTGATAGATGTAACAGAATATACTGAATGTGGGCCAAGTAATAATGTAGTAATGTAATTGTATATGTATGTGCATTAGTTGATAATTATTTTTTTGGTTAAAAATAAATAAAGTGACAACCCTAGAGGGTGTACCCGTGGCCGGTGTGATGTGACACCGCGTATCAACTACAATTAACACTAACCCGCTGGCGATAAAATCAGTACACCCTTTACTTCACACCCTATCACTAACAGTCTTATAGGTAACTTACGCTTCGTGGTTTCGCATTTATAATTTAAAATATATTTATAAAATTGAAAATGATAATAATAATAGTTAAAGTCAGACTTATAAATCATAAACTACGCGAAAGTAATTTAATTTTCAACAGACTGGCTCGTAAAGTGGATATAATTTCACCGGTTTTCAATATATAAAGCAGTTCACAAAACACACGCGCGTTATAAACGCAAATAGTGAAGTTATATTCTATAACAGCACTATTTGATATTTTTATTTTCAAATTTCGAACTGTCCGCCGTGTGACGCCAGCCAGTAGGCAGTTCGCTGATTTAAAAAAGTAAAATGGCGGGAATGCAACAGTGTGGTTTACAGTTTTATGGTTGAGTTTATTTAACATCAAGTGTGTTGAAAAACGTTGTACGATGTACGTGCGTATTTAACACACTCGGCTCTATTACATCCTCGCCTCCGGCTCGGGATGAAGTTTAACCTTCAGAACACACTTAGTATATAGTAAAGTAGGTACTACTTTAAACTGAAATGCAGTTACGTTACGTTACACGGCCTCGAATCAAATCAAATATAGTTTATTCATAGGATATTTTAGCCGCTTATGAACGTCAAATTTTTTATATTAATATTTTTTTCCTTGCCGTTCAGTTCAGTACAGTAAATCTGTACTGAACTGAGATTGAGAATAAATGGCCATAAATTGTACTGAATTACTTTTTTTTAAAAGCAAGTTTACAATTTTATGTACAATATTAGTCCACATTATTAACAACCCCCTTCCCCCCTATGGGGCGGGGTAAGGGATAGCCTTAAAACAAAATATATAACCATTAACGAATAGAAATATATTCGAGCAATTATCAAGTTTAGGAGGTGGGTGTGTAATGACAGACAATAAATCACTACGTAAACGTATCGGCGGTGCCGCGCGTAATTGTAGTATGTGGCGGTCATTATATGCGCATTAGTGTGTAACTACCCTAATTTTATTTTTAAATCACCGATTGTTATCTGTCTTTTAACTGACACATGTGCGAGTATATTTAAATATTTATAAAAAACACGCTAATCAGTTATTAGTTAGCAATTAATAATAATATTAATAGTCATGGACAATTCAACGCCATTTAGTCCCAAGCTAAGCAGAGCTTGTGTTATGGGTACTGGACTGATATAAAACGTACAATTCACACAGCGCCATCTAGTCCCCAGCTAAGCAGATCTTGTGTTATGGGTACTGGACTGATATAAAACGTACAATTCACACAGCGCCATCTAGTCCCCAGCTAAGCAGATCTTGTGTTATGGGTACTGGACTGATATAAAACGTACAATTCACACAGCGCCATCTAGTCCCCAGCTAAGCAGATCTTGTGTTATGGGTACTGGACTGATATAAAACGTACAATTCACACAGCGCCATCTAGTCCCCAGCTAAGCAGATCTTGTGTTATGGGTACTGGACTGATATAAAACGTACAATTAACACAGCGCCATCTAGTCCCCAGCTAAGTAGATCTTGTGTTATGGGTACTGGACTGATATAAAAGGTACAATTCACACAGCGCCATCTAGTCCGAAGCTGAGCAGAGCTTATGTTGTTAACTAATATAAAAACTTAGACGCATTTTTTAAATACATATACGTACAATACACCCAGAAAGATACAAACAATCATACTCATGAATACAAATGATTGTAGACCGAGGAATCGAATCCGCGACCATCAGAACTAAATCAGTGCACTAAACCGAAAGACCACCGTGGTTGTTGTGAACAATGTAAAAATAATAAATTTAGGTTTAGTAACATATTTCTTTTCGTAAATATTTGAATGTCATGCCAGTTCTGGATATAAATTTTTCCTACAATAAACACTTCAATTGGGGGTCTATTAACTATACATATAAATAAAATTGGAGTGTCTGTTTGTAATATTGATATAACCGTTTTTTACTACTTGCATATGAATATAAATACGGTATAGACACCAAAATAATATTTTTTACAATTTTTGTTTGTCTATGCGTTTGTTGCTAGCTGCAATAAACGCATAGACAGCTACTTTGAAGACTGAGTAAGTACCTCAGTCAAACTGTACGTAATAAATTCTCGTATTAACGACATAGTTATGGTTCAATTAAATGTTGGTAATTGGAGAGATATAACAGTACAGGATGTTCTAACATAATCTATACTTATAAATAAAATTGGAGTGTCTGTTTGTAATATTGAAATAACTGTTTTTTTACTACATGCATATGAATATAAATACTGTACATGCACCAAAATAACATTTTTGTCTGTCTGTCTGTTTGTTCCGGATAATCTCTGAATTGGCTGGACCGATTTTGACGAGACTGTTATTGGCAGGTAGCTGATGTAATAAGGAGTAACTTAGACTACTTTTATTTCAGAAAAATAAAGTTAAATTCCACGCGGACGAAGTCGCGAGTACAGCTAGTTGATAATAAAAGTCGTTAGCGCAGGTGATCGATATCGTTATTATATTTGTTCATACGATAACCCGAACAATGCGCATTGTGAATATATCACCTGGCATTATTTGTATGTAAATATTTTAATATATCAATTATTTACCATAACTTTTTGTAATTATATTAATAATAATATTTATAAATAAATAAATAACTCTGGACAATTAACACAGCGCCATCTAGTCCCACGGTAAGCAAAGCTTGTGTTATGGGCACTATACAATAGTTAATAAATACTTACATACTTTTTGTTGTAAATACATACATAATATACATAGAAGACACCCAGACCAATACAAACAATCATACTCATGAATACAAATGTTTGCACTGTGCGAGGAATAGAACCAACTATCGGGAGTAAAGCGGTGTGTCAAACAACTAGACCACCGAGATCGTCAAATAAATAATAGTAATTAGTAGGATTTATATAATTAATTTTGTTGCAGTAGTCGGCGATTGGGCGGGCGGCGCCCCACCGGGGGGAGAGTGGTGGGCACTGGGCTTAGGGGCGGGACTCGGAGCCCTAGGAGTCCCAACCCCACTGTGGCATGATGCTGAACCGGCTGCAGCTTTCCGTGCATTGCTACATAGGTAAGAGCCTCATGGTCTGACTTCAAATTCAAATTAAAAAATAATTTATTCATGTAGGACATTTTAGCCGCTTATGAATCAATTTTTTGTAGTATATTTTTTTCCCTACCATCTAGTTCAGTATATAGATTCGATTGAGAAGAACTTATACTGAAATTCCTCTGGTGTTGCGGGTGTTCATGGGAGACGGTAATCACTTACCATAAGATGAGCTGCAAGTTCGTTTGTCTATAAAAAAAGTTTGTAAGCTTGAATCTGGTTGACATAAAATAAAGCTATCAATTTATATTTCTGACTGACTCTCCGGTGATGACAATATTAACAAGCCAATTTTGTAACTGAAAGACTTGTTTAGTGACTCGTTGGGATTTTTTAATGTATGCTAGTGAAATTGTGCATATTCCTGCGCTAACGTTTTACTCTGGCGGGTCACTAGTGGAAGTTCAAAGGATGAGCATAAGGGCAGGTCAGAGTTAACCCATTGTGACAAATTCACCAGAAATTTATTATGATGGTTTCCAGGGAGAACCGCTTTGAAGTTAATCTGACCATACATTGCTAGCTTGGGGTCATCAGTCCACATTACGAACTTTTTTCTCCGTAGGTAACCTATAACACTAAAATTTTTATCCTACTGGATTGTTCCCATCTGGTTTCAATTCTCGTTAGTAGCGAATACAGACAAAGTAACGGGAGCAAACCAAAAAAAGAGAAATTCATATATATTTATGTAGTAACACTAAATTGTCTCCACAGGTACGTACTGGCGTTACCACCTCCAGCGTTGCGTCCACCAGAACCAGACCCACCAGCGCCTTCATCACCCCCGTCCCCACCATCCCCTTCATCCTCGCTGGCGCGTCTGGCAAGCGCTGAAGCACTACGCCTAAGAGCCCACGACGCATTGCTGCAAGATCGCGTCGTCTTACAACATAATAATAAAGTACACACGTAACCTGATTTAAATTTGGAATTAGAATTGTGATCTATATAAATTATAACCCCATTTGAATTGAGAATGGTAAGTTTGTTTTGTAACTATTATTTATGTGATGCCATGATAAAGAAAGAAAAAGAAATTTAAACTTGGAATTAAAATTATGAGTAAACCTCATTTGAATTTGGAATTACATTTACGAGAACTATTTTCAAACTAGAATTTCGCGGTTCTTTATTTGAATTTGGAACTAAAAATATTTATTTTGTTATTTTGATTGTACTACAAAAGTAGATTTTAAATATTTTCACAAGGAAATTTCTGATTTTTCACCTAATCAAATAGAAAGAAATAGAGATATAATAACTAGATTCATCTGAAAGGAATACGAGATCTTGAAATATTTTTATAAACATCTAATTAGGTATACTTATCAATAACTGAGAAAATTATTTAGATTATAGAATATATTATTTGATTTTCTATGTCTATACTCTGGAACAGTATTATTTAATTGTGGCAACTTCATAAATATTTACTGTGTGCCTTAAAGTACGTGTGTTATACAATAATTTTCCAAAAGATCTCAACACAATATTTTTAAGGCCATTTTCCTGAGAATGACGAATGTCTCCTGACAAAAGACTTTCGATTGTAATCTTTGACATCGTTTTAAAATGTATGTACATTACTCTGTAGGCGACTTAGCTTAGGTCCAAATGAGAATCTATCTTGGTATTTAATAAGTTGACTTAATCAAAAATCACCAAACTTAAACAGAAAATGTTATTTCTAAGGGCCTTTTGTGTAGAAATATTAGAATTAAGTATGTTATAATGTAAATAATATGATATGAATTGTCTGTATGAGTAACACTATGAAAGACGTAGTTCTATATACTTGTATATTAATTATATATAAAATAACGTCAAAAGAGACGGTCCTAATGGGTATCTAGAGTTGCCTATTGTGTCCTTTTATATTTATTTCATACCTTTACCCGAAACGTTCTTATTAGCGCGGGAAAACCAGCGCGCGCAATCGTGAGGGATTGTCCCCTCCGATCGATCCCCCGTTCAATTCAAACGGGGATCGAAATTACGACTGGCTGAGCCGAGGTTCGGACCCCTAGCGGTGCCCTCAGACTAAAGTCGCATCCTTCAGAGACGATGGCCTTCAGCCGCTCCGCGTTCTTCTGCGGGTGTGCCATCTGCACTCGCCCCCTATCGTCCAGTGAAACTGTAAAGGCCAGCTGCGGCCAACAGCATTAGAATAGTCCGAAAAAAAAAACATGTTTGCGAATACGATACTAGTTTCTCTTTCTTCTAAAATTTTATTTTTCATTCTTGAACCTGACTGTCTTTTATTAAAAAAAACTAAGTTGTACTCTTTGAAAATAGACGTGTCTTGTTAATTTCTTCACATTCTTTTCCATTTATTTTCCTCTTTCATGGTCTCATTTTCTCTATAGTTTTATAAATGAAAGTATAAAATAACTGTTAAGTACTTATTCCTTGTTATACATATTTTGCCACTACTGAATAGATTTATTCTTGCCTTTTGTAACTGAAGTAATAATAGTACGTTTTAACTCTGTTATTGTTTAATTTGTTCTATTTTAATTAAGTATTTTCATTTTAATAATAACACTGTGACTTCACATTCCTTTTATATGTAATTTATGATTTAATAATTAAATATATTGTACACAGTCCTATATTAATTATTGTAAATAAATAAGTGTGTATATTGTGTAAATTTAAACAATGAAATATAAATAGTTTAGTAGTAATCATTGAAAATAAAGACATGTAACGAATATGTTTTGTCTATACTGTGCTGTTGATGAAATTATGTTTTTTTTTCTGTCTTTTCCGAGATCAGTCTATGAAGAGATGTGGTAAAATGGATTTATATTATTTTGTTCCGCTACAATTAGCATGTGTGAGACCACAGATATTCAGTGCGGAAACCTGACCACAGCTACTGGAAGCGTTACGACCTTATGAGTGATAAAATTTTTATTTAATATATTTATATTATTTTGTTTAATTCCACTACAATTAGCAGGTCACAAATATTCAGTGTGGAAACTTGATTACTCGTGTTGAATATTGTACAGTTAGTACTAGGTTTCCAAGCTATATACGAACTCTATTCAATGCCTGATACACCTCGTTCGGGTGCTCATAGGTGGCGGCAATCACATACCATCAGGTGAGCCGTAAGACCGTTCGTCCTTATGCTTAAACACAGTTCAGTTCATTACCAATTATTTTCATCAATTGAACGAAATCATCATTTTTTGTTACTATCCCTATCATCCGGTAAGGATAATAATAATAAAATATGATATGCATAAACGGTCGAGTGTCCTGTATGATGAATTCATTTTGACTTTGACTTTGAAGAAAGTAAACGTTTATCGACAGCCTGTATATATATATTTTTTATTTATTGTAATAAAATATGAGCAGTAAACAATTATTTATTGATGCGAGTAGTTGTAGAGAGTTTGCAATAAAATGTCAATGTAGTTAATGCAATAAATAACTAAAACTGTACAACGTTTTTCATTTGCCTCAAAGTACCATTCACTTATAAAAAAAACACTATTTACAATAAATAAAACTGTATAACGTTTTTCATTTGCCTCAAAGTACCATTCACTTATAAAAAAAAACACTATTTACAATAAATAAAACTGTATAACGTTTTTCATTTGCCTCAAAGTACCATTCAATTATAAAAAAAATGACTATTTAAAATAACTAAAACTGTATAAGCTTTTTCATTTGCCTCAAAGTACTATTGAATTATAAAAAAAACCACTCTATTAACAAGAACATTCCCGTCCAACTAGGTGCTGACCAATTAAAGATGGTATTAAGATGAAAAAAATAACGACAAGTGTCAATTAATATAAAATAACCATCCAAGACGAACCACACACAGCGCCATCTATTGTCCAGCTAAGCAGAGCTTGTATTATGGATACTAGACAACTGAAATAAATACTTATATAATATATATTTTTTTCAAATACAGAATATACATCGAAACACCACCATGAACACCATAAACAATCATACTCATGAATGCAAGTATTTGTGCCGCGAGAGGAATCGAATAGGGTACTGGCACTAGTAGTCGGCCCCGCACCAGTACTCAGCCTTTTTCGGTTTAAAACCAATAGGAATAGCGCTATAACAGAAAATACCTAATCAAATTATTTTAAATAGCTTCTATGACTTCTCGTTGCTAGAATTAAATCCAAACATAATAGCTACGTGGCTGCGAAGTACATTAAATATGAATCTATTTCGAAGTCATCGGCTGACGAGGCGACATGCGGCGTGCGCGCCATTTTTTTATTAGTGAGAAGCGTTCACAGAAATGGTAATTTATTTCATTTTTTTGTTAATTTTAGGCCACATTGTATTAAAATTTACATTAATTAAGACTTTTGGCATTGTAATCAATGAAAAGTATCATGTTTTTCTTAAGAATTATTAAATAATGAAGTGGCCGACTACTGGGTCCCATTTTTATATACATTATCTAGTACTCAACCACCCCTGGCTGACTACTGGTTTTAACGCTGTTTGTCAAAAACCCTATAGTCAGCCACTTAAATAGTTAGAGTTTGTTACATGGCTGAGTACTGGTGACAGTAGATCCAGTGTTCAACCGTCCATATTTAAATTGTTTTTTATATAGTTTTTTATACAAAAAAAAAAAAAAGAAAAAAACCAGCTCTAGATTATACCAAAAGTAAAGTGAACGAGAAGCCAAAAGAAAAATGATGATTATGATAAGGAATTGAGCGTAAAATGCACAAAGAAGACAGGCTGTGATTTAGTGGAAATCAAAACAAAATAAAAAAAATTAAAAACTTCTATATCCTGAAATGACACAGAAACCTGTAAGGAAGATAAGCTCCTAAAAAAATTGTTAATCGGCGACTTTTACAAAGAAGAAGAACTTGAAATCTTTTCAAATACTGATGTTACTAAAGAAATTTCCGACTGATTTAAATATAAGTTAGATAGGTATTTGATTGTTGTGATTGTTAGGGCACAGTTAAGTCCTTTTAGGTTCTATGACCGGACTAATTATTTATTAATGTTCTTAATCTTTAAGCTTGAAACTATTGATCTTAAGAGAGGCTGACCACTGGTGGCAATATGGCTGAGTACTAGTTTTTGGCGGCTGAGCACTGGTGAAAAGTGCCTTATTTTGTTAAAAATTTTTCACTTTATTAAAGGATAAATTTGTAATTTTTGTTAATTTTGTAACACAGTTTAATAAATGAGTAAGTTAAATTATACAAAAGACTTTCAATTTACTCTTTCTAATATTTTCTTATATAAGTTTGAACCCAGACTTACCACTAAAAGGCTGACTACTGGTGCCAGTATCCCTACCCGACCATCGGAAGTAAAGCGGGGTGCTAAACCTCTAGACTACAGAATCCGAACTGTTGATTATCTCATGCCTTTTACTTGTTAATGTGTATTTATTTAAAACAATATTTATTCAAAAGAGGAACACTCAAGTTTCTCTTTCATTCTCCTTGTGATGAAACTGCGTTCCGAATGAGTGGTAGAATAAAAAAATTCATTATATTAAGTCTATTCGTGAACAGGTGCTGCTTGTGGGGACTGGTCTGTTCGGGTTACGAACACCGATTAGACTATTTGCTTTTGACAAAATTGCAATAGTTAGTGGTCACTCTATTCTCCTAAATTTGAATTTAAAAATGAATCTGTATTATTGTAAACATGTACAATCGTATTTGAAAAGAATACGAGCTGATTTTCTTGTCAGTTCTTCTCGTCTTGAGCTCACTCCGAACTGACGGTAGATTTGACATATCATAAGAATCTGTAATAAACCTACATGAATGAAGATATTTTGATTTGATTAATTTCTTTATTTGAATAAAGAGGATTTTTTATTCTATTCAACTTCTATACATACTGTTTTGTATAAAAATATATTAATTATATTATACCTACACTAGCTGGGACCGCATACCGATTTTTTACCCGTTTTTGCAACATTTTTCACTGATGCTTCGCTTCTATTGGTCGTAGCGTAATGTTATATACCTGAAAGCCTTCCTCGACAAATGGACTATCCAATACAAAAAGAATTTTTCAATTCGAACCGTAGTGTAGGTATAATATATTCATAGTGTATATATAGTTCCTGAGATTA